GCATAGGAGGCTATCTGCCAGCGGCGACCGATCAGTTCGACTTAGTGTAGCAACGAGATATTACAAGTATCAAAAAAATCCATTTCTTTCTTCTTCCGGCTTTAAAATAGTACGAAAAATAAATCAACTGAATTAAGAGAATATTCAATTTTAAAAAATGACGACATAAAAAAAGACGGAAGAGATTATGAAAGATTCGTAATGTTTTCAGAATTTTAAACAAGATAGGTAAGCAGTCTATACATCTGCATCATTGCGATTCAGTTCGGTCCATGTCATCAAAGTTCTCTGATGACTAACTGCTAACACATCATTATTCCAATCCAGGTAGCCCACAACTCACTCTCCCTACAGGACTCAAACAAACAGTCAGTAATTTCATAGATTTCATACCATCACTTCTTTTGGTCACTACTAATTGTCTATCTACCTGATCCTACTCTAGTTCATCATCTCTCTTCAGTTACATGTTAAGATGTAGCGTTTTTCACAGGGATTTTGCGGTTACATTGACTGGCTTACTATTCTTGTCGCGAACAAGACACCCTTAAATCTCAGCAGTACTTACATAATAGTTCCATCACAGGCGAACAATATCATGAAGACATGTTATAATCAGGAATTTGTAGCATTATAGTTTATTTATACAGATATAAATCTTATCATAGTTATTCTGTGTAGAATTATTCCCGCGTGCAGCTGACGTATGTCACCTCTTCATTTTCGTTCGCTGTTTTTGTAGCTTTCTGTTATAGACATTCGGTTATACTTCACTGCATAAGGAAATGGTAAACTGGGATTTATATTTCATACAATTAGTTCTCTGTATAATTTTTTTGAAAAGCAAGAACAAATATTGTGGGATAAATCGAATTCATTTCGTGTGCACCGCTAAATCTTCCACATACGCTCTACATTTAAAATTGGATACAGTAGCTTATCAGTGTCCAGCATAAGTCATTTGATGCATTTCAGTAGTAAACAACCCCAAATACATCCTTCAAACCTGAACATCGATACATATATATGGGAACAAAGATGAATGACAAAGTTCGCGACCTAATCAACCAATACAGGAACAAGTCATATAACAAATCAGACTATAAAATCCAGAAGTAAACACTAAGCAAAATACGACATGATAGTAGTACAGATATGTGATTATAGCTCAAGGTGATAGGAGCTCTGATGGAAAACGAAGAACTACAAAGATGGTATGCAAAGTATGTAAATTAGTGGTACATGAATAGAAAAGGATATGCTAACAAACATGATAAAAAATATAATGTGTTAAAGTAAATGGTAAATGAAGGGAATATGGAGAATGTTTGAGAATACTATGTAAGACAATAAGATGAAAGAATAAAATAATAAACAAAGCTGTAGAAAAAGAACAACTCATCAAGGCAATGCAAGGTGAACCACAAACTCCTTTTGTACACATAAGTCTGGTTTCAGTCGGCGGATTGCTGCTGCTTCTGCATAATGCAGCAACCTACTATTTCTTTGTTTTTGATTACCTTAAAAGCTGTATTTGAGTCGATGGCTTGATCTGTATCGAGTATGTGCTTACCAATAGCGCTGGTTAGTAGCCTTTTACCTTTCAATGACAGGGTTTTCGGTATAAATAAATATCTTTATTCTCAAGTTATGAAGTTAACATGAGAGAAGCCAGTTTACAGGCCTCATCAAATTGATAACTGCAGAGAAACATAAAAGGTTTTAGCAGTATTGAATGATACAGAGGGAGGACATTAGACTCTATCATAATACCAAGTGTCTAAATGTTATGAAAGTAGCAGGAAAATATCACTCTACAGTACATACACATCGTTCTGAGTTTAAGTCATTCCTGCTCATAATTCTTTCTTCACATTAAACGGCTCAATATTCGGTGTCTGCGTTGTGAGTAGTCGACATGATTGACCCATCTGCAAGACCCAGTGTTTCGTCAGATAAACGTCTCTTCTAACAGTAATCCTTGTGTTCTTAGATTTATTGACCAATAATAACTTACTTCAATGATTTCAGGAATAAGTAAGTATCCATACAATCATGTAATCCAGATGAATGTCTAAGTTCAGGCGTTTCTCACTCTTCAAGTGTTACCTTTCCGAGCAATTCAGATTGGTAGTACTGAAAATATTTGTTGTGGTGCAAGTAATTAAAGACTGGAAGAATCGTCGCTCAACAGTTGTGAATATTACACATGTGTAAAACTTCATAGACTTCAAATTAAAGTATGCAACATTGTCAAGGAGATACATTAGCTGTTAATTGACTTCTATTAGATAGATTGATACAAGACAAAGTATTATAGAAATCTTTTGCATAGCATTATTATGGATCTGTTGCCGTTAGGTAAAGTGATCTCTCGGGTTGGATTGTTCATCCAGATTTCCACTGCATTTGTCACAGACCAGAAATTGGAGACCAGTTATTGTGCTTGGGGTTTCTTATGTGGTAGCATTTAGGGTACTGTTAGGGAGGTGAGTTAATTGTGAAGATGTTCAAGAAACAGGAAATCGGAAGCAAGCCAGTTGAACAATTTTAACATCAGTTTCCAGTATTAGGTGCAAAGTAGGATTTCCAGTAAGCTGATAATTTTTGATCGAACTAATGCTTAGGACTTTCTCGTTAGGCTGATAGTGGAAAGAGAAGAGAAAAGAAAGCGCAAGGAGAAACTGGACAATGGAATACCAAGTAAAACAAACTGGGAGGAGAGAAGTTCTTGTCTTTTTAAAGTCATTCGAACTGTATGTAAACTTTAATTTATTCATATGAGAATGAATCGTACTTTTTTTTCTTACATGAAGTTCACGCGAGTTATTAGATAGGCAGTTTTTGTTGGTAAACTTAAAGGGAACACTGGTTATGCATTTGTACTGCACAATCCGACCAGATGGACTAGTAATCAAACACCCTTTATGAGTCCATTGAGGTAAAAAGTACTTGGGATTTATGATAGCAATGGCTTTGCTGAATAGCCTTCCATCTCTCAATGAAAGGGTTTACGGTACAGATTCAGAGATTTGCTCAGTAAGGACCCTCTCCGTTCTTTCAACATACATGCTCCTGCTAGTACAGGTGAATAAATAAATACAGTTGGAGGTAACATGAAGACGTCTCACATCTAAATTAATTTCTTTGATCATGTTCTTCGTGTCATAGGTAAGTATTAATTTCGCAGCTGGATAAGTTAGTGAGATGCACGCGTTAAGTTGGCGATTATTGTGTGAACTCAATTCATCGCTTCGGAATGGGTAGTCTGTCGAACACATTCTTTTTTGGCACGGTTGTATCATTTAATTTCTCATTTTTAAGTTTAAAGTGTTTATTGATGAACTTTTGTAGGATATCCATTATCTAACAAAGTTTATTGTATAGTATCCAGTTCGTTTTTGATGACTACTTTGGAACATAGTCTGATAGTCCTTAAAAGTTAAGTCTTGACTAGACTTCTTTTATAAGTGGCTGGACAGAAACTAGTCTATGGCAAATATTGACCAGGATTTTTATCGTAAACTATTTGAAAGCAATTTATCAGTCAGGATAAAATTACATTATTTAAGGAAACCATGTAGTGTTAAGTTAAACTGTATATTAACACCATGATAAAAAAGATAATGGTAAAGATGGATAGTGGCTAGCAGTGGGATCCAAGATGCGTATTTCGTCAAATTTGGGACTCGTCGGCTGGATGTACCTTAATGTTTTAGTTTTCCAACTAACTATTTCAGTATGGTAAACAAAATGGGAGTTCATGAGTTCTATCTGTTGTACTTTGGTAAAGCTACACTGAAAGTCAGTCAGAGTGATTGATATGATTAGAAAGCTATCACAACAATATACAGTAATAGTACCAGTAAAAACAATGAGAACTTGATAATAATAATAATAATATCAATGGTGTGTAATGGTCGAGGATGAAATGAAAACCCGGGTAATTACAGGATTCGAACCAACTGGGTTACGAAACCCAGCTTTTGATCTGTTCTTCACTTTGATAACCAAGGATCTTGCTTGGTGTAATGAATTTACATAGAGCCAGAAAAACCCTCGGTGATTGAAGTTAACTTGTGGCCTGGTCCAGCAGTTTGTTCTCATAGTTCAGTGGAAAGAGCATCGGGTCGGTAATTCAGAGACTGCTGGTTCAAATCCTACCGTGACCCCAGATTTTCATATCACTTTCCATCATTACGACCCAGTATCGATGACACCATTCTGTCAAACCACGACTACCTCAAACAGTCTTATTAATAAGTGATAATAGTTTTTCGTAAAATATATCCCATGTGTTGTTCGAAACTGTAATTTCCTATTGCAGTACAGGGTCGAATTACACGACATCTGTTGACTGGTGGGTTCCTACACGGATGCCTCTTTACTGGTGAATATTCATTATGGTTTATTCATCTTGGTGACTAACAGTGGAATCTAGGACACGTATTTCGTCCTACTTTGAACTCATCACCTAGATGTACCTACACCTGGAATTCAACCTTGTACAGCAACGTGGGATTACAAGTACCAACCAGCGACTGATATCCGTTACGAAAGAGATGGTTGTCATGCTCCGGTGGTCTAGTGGATAACGCTCTGGCTTTTGAAGCGATGGGTTACCGGGTCTGAGTCTCAGTGGGAACAACATCACTCACTGGAGGGAGGTATATCCAGCTGATGAGTCCCGGTAAGGATGAAACGCGCCTCCTGGATTCCGCTGCCTGGCACCATGATGAATACTCAATGTGTTGTTGATAATTCACAATTACCATTGTTTGATTTATTCTTTGAAAGGCAGAGATGTTCATGAAAGAAGCTAGAAAAATTAGGATTGTCATTTTTCACCCAATCTTTTTTGACTTCGCTCATTGTCTCTTTATCCTTTTTTTTCCATTCTGCTATTACCTTGAGCTATTGTGTTTATTTACAATATTATTTGTTGATTTGTTTATCATAGTAATTTAATTCTCACCAATATGACTATTCCTACCGTTTAGATATTTGGTGGTCGCTATTTTTATATTCATGCCTATAAATCTGTACGTCATGGTATGGCTAATATGGATGTATTAATTGTTATGGCAACAACAATTGCTTATGCATATTCTGTGATCATCTTGTTAATCGCTGTGATAAATCAATGGCCACACAGTCCTCGAACTGTCTTTGAAACTTCACCAATGCTATTTGTCTTTGTATCACTAGGTCGATGGTTAGAGCATATTGCCAAGGTGAGTGAATAAATTTGTAATTAACTTTTTTGGTTATATACAATCAATTGAATTATATCACTAACTATCTGAGATAACCATGATTTTTCAGACTTGTATCGAAGTGAAATAAAAATCTGTTCAGTGGCTGGGTCTTATAACTCAGTTGATTAGAGCATCGGACCGGCAACGCAGTGGTCGCTGCTTCAAATCCTGTCGTAGCCTAGATTTTAATTTCACCATCAATCATCGCCCAGTATCAGTAGGTATATAAACTTCAATTTATACAATGTCGTGTAGTTGTCACCACTGGATGATATCTGGGTTGTTCTTTATTCACTTAATGTTTTGAATAGTATTGTACAAGTTTCAGGTTGATTTTTATGGCTCTAATTTAGATACAAATATTGCAGTATATCAATGAATTCCATTTACTACTTGATTTTGGATATATCTGTTATTTACTTATGTTCATCGCTGAATAAACAGTAATTAGGTAGTCATTTTAATGACGTTTATTATTATTATTATTTTCATTAGTGTCTTTACGGTTAGTTACGGTTTTTATCCGTCAAATTTACTACATCCAAGTACGTTGGTTGCTTATTAATGGTATAATTAGAAAGACAAATGAAATAAGGTTGTACCACAATTGTTCATTCTGTTTTCTGTGTCCTGTGTGTATATAACTCATCGTGTCACAGGTTGATGTACTAACTAGGTGGGTTATAAGCCATACTATGTGAGTATAGTACTACCCAGTTTCCCGAACCGAAACAAACTGAGTGGGATTAGAACTTGGTCCAAGTATTTGATATACATCGATTAGAAATAAGGACATTTTCTCTTTGTGCATTTGACAGTCGAATTCTTAGACCAATGAGCCATATCTTCGAATTTATCCTGCATAGCTTATAAAATATGTTTGTGTTTAACAGACTGTTAGTGTATTTCATCAGCAAATAAATAACAGGAGTTGTTTTGTGTTATCAAAAATTATATAGAATAGAAAATAACGTTTCGGTGTAGCCTTCGATGAACATGTTGGGCATATCAAGATATATGGCACCAGTCCATGAAGACTTTGACAGCTAGTCTGAACCGTACAAAGACATGTAGGTCGTTTGGTTAGGCCATTGAAAACAATAAGAATCTTTAGTTGAAACAATTTTTGGTTATATGGCTTGAAGTCTATCTCAGTGACGCAGGTGTATGAATTCTTTGTCATTTTTGAGACTAGGTATTTTTTCACTAACCTTTAATAATTCATTTTCTTCACTTTCATATACACTTATCTATTTTGATCTCATTCTTATTCTCTCCACTTCTAAGATGGAAATTGTTGTAAAGTGTGGCAACTTGAATCGATTCACTTCTGCGCCAAGTTATTCATTGGTTTGTGTTTTTCATGTTAAACTCTGCTAAATCTGTCCATAGGTAGCTAGCTGCATGGTGATCACTCGGAAGATCTTGTTTTCTATTTTCACTTGGTTGACGTATATTTGGTGACTAATATGATCCGATGTATACAAAACGTTACGCCAAGAGGAGAAAGATTGATCAATAAGTACAACTATTCGGTGTGTTTACTGATAGTTTTACAGTTTTTCTGATTGTTTTCCTGACTCGATCCTTAGTATGGAACAGATTGGATCTATTCTATATCCTGTGACCCTTGTGATCAACTAGTCGGAAGTTAAGCGGAATGCTAACTGAATTTCTTAATGGACAGTCACTCTATATCTCAAATTGACAGAAGTTGGAAATTGTGAATCATTGGAATCTGGCCCAGTGACTGAATGGTAAACGCGTTCGCCATGAAACCTGAAGGTGGGTTCATGGATCCATGCTGTTGAGGAGTCACATGCTAGGAAAAAGCAGCTGTTCAGTGCTCTAAGGTTTTCAATGGTTCTCCATCTAATATTAGTTCGTGGTAAATACTGCCTTAAAAGTCTATATATTAACGTAGATCCGGTAATAAAAACCGATCTGTTGAACAATAACCATTCTGTACCTTAGTAAAATTGACCGTTTCGATTAATTCTCTTAATAGTTCAGTTGTAGTTTAGTCTCACTGTATGTATGTTTTCTTTTAATCTGTTATCTATCATTCACAGTCACCTACCTTTTTTGATTACTGTAATGGTTTCGGCTGAGCATCATCACCGTGGATGATTATGTTGGCAGTGGACCATAAAAACTTTTGGACAAGTAGTTACTGAATAGTAATCAATTATGTCTAACTCATTTGAAATTATAAACACCGATAGGACACTTATGAAAGTCGATTGTCTTTTTTTCCAATTAGATCATCTCACGTTTACTCACTTCACATTTTCGACCCAGCGTATAATTTTGACTGTTAATCCTTGTAGATTATTTTCATCTTACCTTTTTTTTCTGTTGGTATGATTTGATCAATGTTACTTTAAGTGTTTTTATTTTACCAATAAGTCGTTTCTTTATGAAGATAGCACAGTGGGAAGTTAATGAGCTATTTTCATTGGTTACTATACTTTTTGAAAGAAGTTAACTAATCAGGGAATAATCATGACACAATTCTTCTTCTGTAACTTTCTCAAGTATTTTTTATGAAATTTTAATATGAAACGAGATGAAATGCACTCAGCAACTTTGTGTACATACATTTGTTCAGTAGACAATGAGTCATGCCTGTTATATGAGAGTTAATTGTCCTACCTGGCCGCCTAAACTTCGGTAGGCGGAGCGGGTTCGAATCTGTGACCCATTGACTTGAAGTTAACTGCCTAAATCAGTGAGTCACTACTTCATAGAAATAATACCAAGAGAAATATTGAACGTAATATTATGACGATGATCAATTCATGTTATTGAATTCTGTATTAAAGAGAGAGAGAGAAAGTTTCATTTGCTATCCGATTCGGCTCATTGGCTCATAATGAATCATGTTCGAGTATAAAGCAAACAGAAGGAAGTGGAGATGGATTGGGCATACACTGAGAAGGCCGAGTGGGGACATCATGCGTCAGGCCAGGTCGTCGAGTGGAACCCGCACGGGAAACGACGAGTTGGACGTCCGAGGGTGACATGGAGGAGATCGTGCGAGGAGGAAATGAGAGGTTGTGGGCTGTCGTGGAGGCAGGTTCAAAAGATTTCAGAGAAGAGAGTGGAGTGGAGACGTGCTACTGAAGCCCTATGTTCCATTAGGAACCCAAGGGACAAGTAATAATATAATAATAAAGCAAAGCATGATATTCCTCTACAAAAGTTAGACTTATGTTTAGAGCTTCTTTAGACTTTCCCCAATAGTCTAATACAGAACCTAGTGTTCCAATGTAAATTTCTGACTGGATCATATAATTTGGGAAACAGAATTCCATCAAAATATTACCTCAGTAAATTAATAAACGACTGGTGTCTGTACATAAAAGTAGTATTTTCACTCAGTCCGGTACATGTTTCTTTGCAAGCCTGTGATCCACACTTGTTGTATTGAGGGTGAATGAGACTACCCAGTTACTCAAACTGAATTAAGTGGAGCGGAGATCGAACATGAAAGCCATCTTTTCATACTCGAGTTTCTAAACCAATGAACCACGTCCACAATAATAATAATGATAATGATTGTAGTACTTTTCTGTGCATCTGTTTTGTCCACCTCATAAGGTTTCATTTTTTCATCCTATCGATTATAATGATAGTTATGATCATGTCTGTTTTGTTATCAGGGGAAAACATCTGAAGCACTAACAAAACTGCTTTCACTTAATGCAACAGAAGCTACTATAGTCGATTTATCTCCATCTGAAAGACAAAAATTCAATGATACAGTAATTCAAAAAAATAATCAAAGACAAGACTTATCTTCAACTTTATTTGCTAGTGGAATTGAGAAACGTATTCCTATTGAACTTGTTCATCAAGATGATATAATCAAGGTAAGTCTTATTTTCGAATTCTACACATCTTGTAATGTCGTTGTTTAAATGTTTTTAATGCTCAATTAACTACATATGAATATAGGATTTAACTATCTGGGTACTACTTAATTTTGTATCGCAGCAGGAGTCATCTATTCTCATGTGGTCATCCGAATGGTTTCATCATATCCCCCTCCCCCCAGCACACACACGAGATATACAATGCGTTACTCATATCCTGTTGTGTCGATGTTTATCTGAATGATAATTTTTACTGGAGTTGTATCCTATAATGTCAGCCAATTTGTTGGAGGATTAAATGCAAACTAGCCTTTTTGAATTCCAGGCTGCCATCCAGCAGCAGTTGCTTCAACACTACGGAGTACTACTAGTCTTTATCAACATCATTCAACAGCTATATGAAGACGCCACATGCCAAGTGATTCACAACACAATGGAAAGCTCAGTAACGCCTTTGAAGTTAAGTGAAGTGAAGACAGGAGTAAGATATGGCTGTCACTCACTATCACCGACGATCTTCCTGATTTTGGTCAACTGGACTGGGTCATGCAACAAACTGTGAGGAGTGAGAAGAAGGGCATATGCTGACTGGATCAATGAAAAGACCCCAAAAGAAGATTTGGATTTCACCAACAATGATGATTGATGTCGAAGGTCTTGTGGCACAAACTCGAAGATGTACAGGCGAAAACCAAGAAGTTGACAGGAGAGACGAGGTGAGGCAAGGCGAAGCGAGGCAGCGAAGGAAGACGAGACTTCGAGTGAATGTAGAGAAGACGAAGACACAGGTAGAGGGGATGAAGCTACCCAACGAACAACAGCATGAACAACAAGAGACACCAGTCACCATTAACGGGAGAAACCTAAAGGAAGGAAGTAGTCTCTGTCACCTACCTAGTCAAAGCAGCATAGTTTCAACTACAGGTGGTGGTGTCACAGACGAGGATGTGAAAACCAGGGTCGGAAAAGCAAGACAGGCCTTCCTTCATTACTCTGAAACCAGTGTGGCGATATCTACTGCACTCAGCCTAAAGCGTGAACATGATCCGGATTTTCAACACCAATTCAGTCAAGTCAGTGCTTCTGTGTGGTGATTGAGAGACTTGGCGTGTCACGAAAGCCGTTTCCAACAAACTACAGACATTCACCAACAGCTGCCGTCTACGCTCACTCTATACTGAAGATCAGATGGCCAGAATAATAATAATAATAATAATAAGCAACAAGGAACTCTGGGACTGAACCAATCAAGAAACCATCGCCGACCAAATCTGCAGAAGAAAGTGGAGATGGATTGGATTGGGTAGGCATACACTGAGCAAACCATTCGGAGACATCACGCGTCGGGCCAGGCTATCGAGTGGAATCCTAAGGGGAGACGACCAGTTGGGCGTCCGAGGCGAGATGAGATGGAAGAGATCGTGTGAGGAAGAAATGAAAGCATGTGGGCAGTCGTGGCGCCAGGTTGAAAAGACTGCAGAGAAGAGAGTGGAATGGAGGCGTGCTACTGAAGCCCTGTGCTCCACTAGGAACCCAAGAGACGAATAATAATATGTCATATTCAATAAATATTTGAGGTTTCTTTTCCTGAAGGTAGATAGATATTAAACTTGGATATAATTTGCAATTAATTTCGACTGCTTATCTGTATCACTAAAGATATATGAAACTGGTTTGTAAACTAACATTCAACACTATGGCAATCATTGTTGTCGTGTAAGTGAAATGTACCTAATGTTGAATGATCCACAACTTAGTTCATGTAAATAACATGAAGCTTTTTAATTAGTATACCTTCAAAACCAGATACTTCTTACGGAAACGTGTATATGCAGTTTTAAACTAAATATTAATAATAATAAAACATGGGAACATCGGTGTTCAACAGATCGTTTGATGCAGTACAAAACGAATATGCGATTCTGTTTTAAACGAAACTCACGTAGGTGATTTTACTAATAAGCTGTCGATCTTTACGTGTTTCGGTTATGCTTTAAATAAACTTTCATTTAAATATCATTGTCTTTCACTTGATGTTAATGTGGTTTCGAACTTGCTACCGGACTTTGTCATGCATTTAGCTAATTATTAGTGTCTTCAGGTTGGTATTCATCGTGGATTGACATCAGCTGGAGAAACAATGGAAACCTGGAGGCACTGGACAACTGTTTCGTCCGACTATATGACACCTCGACAGTGCGCACCCATAACCTTGTCTCGTCAGAGATAGAACCCAGGACCTTCAGGTTCCGCGGCCAGCATGTTACCACTGAGTCTCTGGTCGGAATTTATTGGTTCGTATTTTCTACATCTCTCAGTTCACAATACAGCGTGACCTAGGATCTGAATTCGATCCTTGGCGAGCCGGGATCATGGATGCCCACCACTGAGGAGTCCCATGCCAGGATGAAAAAGCTGTTCAGTGCTTGCAGGTTTCCACTGTTTCTCCAACTAATGTCAGTCCATAGTGAATACCAGTCTGAAGTCATTCAATTTCTGCAAACCTCAAAACTATGTTAATCTAGGGCCCATTGGCGACTAGCTTCGAGAGCTGATTCCCGAAGTTCCAATGACAAGTGATGACGTGACGAGTAGACTCAAGCAGATCGAACATGAGGATGGTTACTCAACGACGATATTAAATGTATGTCGTGCTGTATGGTAAACTGACAGAGTTAGGAATTGTGGAGGAATGAATTCCGACCGAGTGACTCAATGGTAACGTGCTGGCCGCGGGACCTGAAAGTGCTGGGTTCCATACCTGGGGGTGCGGTATTATGGTTGGGCACTGTTGAGGTGTCACATAGTCGGATGAAACATTTGTCGAGTGCCTCCAGGTTTTCAGTGTTTCTTCAGCTGATCTCAATCCACTATGAATACCAACCTGAAATCAATGAATCCTCACAAACCTAAAAATTTAACTGTTAGTGTGGTGACATCGCTTTATACTGGACTTTATAGTTTAATTTAGCTCTTTTATTTGTGCTCTCATTTTGCCAAGTGTGTTAATATAAGTACGCATGTAATTAAGTGTTATTTGTATCATTCTTTACCTGAGTGATATGGCGGTTAGCAATGAACACTGAGATTGTCGGCGGATTATCGTGACAACAGTTTTACTATAAATATTATGCTTGTTACCTTGAATAAATTGAATTTAATGACTGCTGTATATCTCTGGATCTCTATATTTTCTGTATAACCATCGAATCGATCAGTGAAATTTTTAATCGTTTTTGTTTTCTAGAAAGCTGTAATCGATTTTTAAAAGATTATCAACAAATCACTTCTAATCGTTTTGTGAAGTATACAGAGTACACTTTACAACTTTGAGGTTTTTGGTTTGTTATTGTAATGCATTTTATCTAATGACTAAAGACCAAAGTAGTTAGTTGCAGGGTATATGGAACAACCAATTGTATACAATCGAATTTGGGAAAGATTGCACACTAGTGCTGCTAGTATCCATGTAACCATATGAACTATCAGCTTCAGACACCAATTACACCTATCTTGAAAAGCATATTCTGCTAGCTTACACTTCTCCAAACTATTACTGATAGTAGTTTCTGATTTTTATATACTAATCGCTTATCTCACTTTAACCCCCTTGATAGAAAAATGGTTTTGAGTCCTAGTGAGAACAACGTCACTCACTGGGAGGTAAGTACATCCAGCTGATGATTCCTAAATAGGATAAGACACGATTCTTGGATTCTACATCTAGCTATTATCCATTATTAACATGAAGTCAATAAATATTTAAATAGAACGAGAACAACAGATTATTGTCGATTTGTACACCTTGGTTTTTTTTTGTAATTTTTCATTTTACACCCTTGACCTATCTATGAATTCTTGGGTAATATATATCTTATGACCCTTTTCTACACCTATTTTATGAATACATTTGTCTTGGGTGATAACTGTAGGTGAAATGAAAATTTAAGCCGCAGCCTGATTCGAACCAGTGATCACCGAGTTTCCAGCTCGATGCTTTTACTAACTGAGCTACGAGACCGAACTGGTGACTAAATTTTATTTCTCTTCAATGATCAAGGATTTTATTCGACTACTATGTGAATTCATGATATGCCACTATCGCTTAATCTTACTTACACTGGTTACCCAGTCAGAACTTTCCATCCAAATCTACTTGAGATAGGGAGCATCATATTGATTGTTAGTTTTACTATCTGAAATAACTGCACATTTATTCACTCACTTCGTATTTCTTTAATCATGTCATATCGATGTTATCTTTATTTTAAGATGGTAATTTGTATCACATTGATTCAAGTATATAAGTATTTATGTTAATGGATATTAAAATTGGTTTAGTTTGTAAGCAGCTGATGAGAAACTGCATGCTGTTTCTGTTAGAACTTTTGTTCTTGCTCTATTTGTGAAATGAAATAATTATATAGATAAACATTGTTGAAGTAACACTTGGTATAACAAGTAGTGGCTATCGTTCTTCTGTGGCATAGTGGATAACACCTTGGCGTTTGAAACGATGGGTACGAGGTCCAAGTCTCAGTGGGAACAACATCACTCACTGGAGGGAGGTACATCCGGCTGACGAGCTCCAAATAGGACGAAACACGCGTCCTCGATTCTTCTGCTAGCCACAATCAACCAAATTATCACTTGGTATAACTGTTTACACATTCGATTTATCATATTTCTCATCACCACTAAAAACGTGAAGAAAAAAGATAAAATATTGGAAAGAGTTGACCTAAATCGTTATTATCAGCACTTCATTCAAACTGATTGATACAAGAAGACTCATTCTAGTTGATTGTGATCACAGTGAAGAGTGAAAGTGGTCTAACAATGATCACTAGTATTGATGGGTGGTAAGATCGAAAAGATTGAAGAAGGCACCAGCCAGCACTCGATGGTTAGTGAGAACACTGAAAAGATGGGTTTCTGATAGCCCCCCAGGACAGATTGCTGAAACTTTGGACAGAACACCTTTAAAAACATATCACCTCGCCTGTAGTCATGCTGCAGTTGATAAACGTACAGCACATATCTCAACGGGATGTGGATATTAATCCTTAAATTTGAGACGACTATTTCAAATCTGGAACAATGCAAAGCAGTATGAGCTGAGTTTTCCCTCAGAAGTTTTCAGAATTGAAGTAAAACGTTACCCAATAAAGTACTCTAGATACTAGCTAGTTCAAGGATGCTATGTTTCGCAGCGTTCCATCAGGCCAAACAGATTGGTTGCTGACAAAATGTTAGATAGAAAAGGCTCGTTTGCCATTCGCCAACTTGTGTCCGCACCAGCGTCTGCAAGATACTCAACCACCTATTAAAGACAGGTATCCTACGCAACGTTTCTCTGTGCCCTATTATGCAGCTTTGAAGCATGGTCGTTAAGAGTAGGAAATATGAAAATGCGCTAGATTTTCGACCACATATATCTTTGCAGCGTTGCTGGCGTTTGGTTGATCCACTGCGCGAAAAATGTTGTGGTGAGACGTAAGGTATTAGAAAAACAAGATAAATCAGTCAGTTATGTTGTTATCTCAACACTGAATGAGGTGGCTTTGGATACGTGTTGCGCATACGAAGGTACTACATGTAATGTTTGTCGAAATAAGATTGGATTAGAAGGAAACTAAGAGTTGCCCAGTCCATGAAGTCTTTGGTTTATTCTTTTTAAGTTGATGTAAACTACATGTTTATGATCTCTAAAATAATGGGAATCAATAGTTGCAGACTCTTGTTGATATGACTGGAAATCGGTCGCAATGACACAAATGTATATTCCCTTCGTCATTTTCAAAGTTTTTAGTAGTTTTCACTAACCTATGTTTATTCTTCTTCCTGCTCCCATACACTTTTGTTCAATTAAATATCAGTCTTCTTCTATCCACTAGTTCTTTCCGTGGTGTTATGAAGTGTGGCAACTAAAACTGATTTGCTTCTGTGCATAGGTAAAAAAGATATAAGCTTCGCTTGCATTATACAGGCCTTGGTGATTGCTATGAATAAGATGATACTTTAAGGTCTTTCTGTCGTAATGTTTGTGTATCATAAAGATTGTCCATTTTCAGATTTAGGAGCCAATATGACACTGTGATGGATTCTCAGACTGACGTTTGTATTCGTTTTTAAAAATGAAATCAGTTTCTTTTAAGTGCTGCTTTTTCCATTTTCTAATGGACTGATTTCTTGTGTTTAAGATATGTCTACACTATCGAATCATGCCTAAATGACAATGAATGCATCCTGATTATTTATAGTTTGAATGATAAAATTTATTTCATGAATATTTTTATTTCCTATATTCTATTATCTGCTATTGTTTTAAAGATTCTTCCTGGTGAGAAAGTGCCTGTTGATTCTCGTATACTGATTGGATCAACTTCATGTGATGAATCGTTGATCACTGGAGAAAGTATGCCGGTTACCAAGAGACCAGGTAAGAAAGCCTCATTTTAGATATTTTGATTCGATCATTTGTTATGCTAGATAAAACGCCATTCTTAGATGTGTTATTGACACAATTTCCTTAACTGCCTACTGGTTATCGTAATATTATTTATTGACTATTTTATTATTTGATGTATAGTTCACGGTTATTTCATCGCAGTCATATACTTTATAGATAGGTATATATATATATATATATATATATATATATATATATATATATATATATATATATATATATATATATATATATATATATAAAGAGAATTGACCAGCATTATTTTACCTTTTGATTATTCACTCACTTCAACCTTGGAAGGATAGTCATGATTCAGTAATAGTTAGTCAGCTGTATCAAAGTTGTTAGTTGGAGTATTGAGTTATGGCAAACGAGTCTATCTGATGTGTATGTATAATTAACTAGACATCATTTCTGCATTCTTTTCACACAAACAGGGTAATGACAGTACATCTGCTACCCTTAGTTCTCACTTAGCATTATTAATCGATAATAATATGAAAGTAGTAGGAAATAGCATTATAGCAATACTGATACTCCTAATAACGAGAAATAGTGCAGTTACTTTCCCATGATTTTCTATGTATTACTAGCTAATACTTAAAATACTATATATGTAATCCTCTTTCTTTTATTGTACTAACCGCTTCTGTGTATTATGAATACCTTATTCTTAATGAAAAAAGTTTTTTCAGTCGTCTTGAATCATTGTCTCATTGAATATGATTTATTCGACAGAATTTGCGTATACTGCCGAATCATCGTGTAAGTGGATAATGTAATTCCTTTGATGAAAGTTTACTTTGCTGATTGAGAAGGAATGGGGTTTGTAGTGCTTCTTCTATTGATAATAATGATGGTGGTGGTGTTATTTTGTTGAGTACATTGGTTTTACACTTCATTTGAGTTAGGACTTAGTTTAAGCTGGTTGAAATATTATTTCATGGTCGTGTCAGATAACTCTCTCTCCCTTTCCCCTATTAATATGTTTGATTGTGGCAATACATCTTAAACTAATCAACTTTCAAAGCTCGTTATTTACTGAGGATGTCCTAATCGCTTAGAAATCTTTAAATCGTATTCATGACTTGTGGGTGTGTGAGGAGTTTGAAAAAAAATCTGCGGACAGTGCAACTTCTGTGTGTCATCACTATCTGATTAGTCAAGTTTTAATGTCATCATCATTAAGGTGGCTAGACCAAGACGTGGCACCAGTCAATGAAGCCCCTAACTTTTGGTCTTGAGCTATGTGTGGAGATGTAGACTGCTTGGCTGGGGGTCTTTGAGTCGAAAGGAATCAATGGTTGAGGAATCTCGGTGACATAATTGAAAACCGGTCATAATGACGCAGATGTATATAATCCTAGACGTCTAAAGCTTGAATATTCAAACTAATCTTTATCTTCAGATTGTTTATTCTTTCACACAACTTTGTCGATTTTGATATCAGTTTGTTCTTTGTGAAGTGTGGCAACTTGAGCCGGTGCGAAGTTCTACTTTGATTTTGTCAGTCAGTCAATCTTTTCCCTATAAAAGTAACACATGAGAGTGTGCTAAGAAAAAGGCTTTTTCAGAATGACACACATATTCTCCAACCCAAATAGCTCAGTTGTGACGTCGGTGACTACGGTACTAGGTTGTGTGGGCTCGAATCCCACAAGGAACATCAATTCTCTCTACGTTGCAGATAGGCCTTGCTGACAAGCATCAACAAACACTATAGTTAGGTCCAGAACTTCCTGTCTATTACCTCCAACCAACTAACATCCATCAAAGTCCACCACAATGGTGAACCGCGTAGCATGGGAACCACATTGAAAAATGATCGATAGAATTTGGTCAACGCACATGACTCGATAACATGAAATTGGTTCCTCTTCGGTAGACCTGTCAGTATACTTATATTTTCCTCTTATAGTTTGTTCTAGTCATACCAGCGTACGAAAATCCTTAATTTGATCTACCAGTAATTGTCATGGCTGCGTAACAAGTACAATTGATTCTCTTAAAACAGTGCGATAATATTTCAACAGAACGTTTTTGTTAATGATCTAAAATCATGATATAAACAGTGAGATTTCTATGTTTTAGCTGTGGTAAAATTCAGTTAGTTGTGATTCACAACACCAATCCTTTCAGATGAACATGTTTTTCAAGAATACATCAAATGTAGTCGAATTTGGTTTCACGAAGATTATTATTATTATTTATCCCTTTGGGTTCCTAGTGGAACATAGGACTTCAGTAGCACGGCTTCATTTCACTTTCTTCACTTTCTTAGTGAAGGCCTGTCTTGCTGCCTTTCAGATTCTGGCTTTGATGTACCCATCTATGCCGCCGCTTGTAGTTGAAACGATGCTGCCTAGGCAGGTAGGTAGGTGAAAGAAACTACTTCCTTTGGGTTTCTTCTGTTAATGGTGATTGGTGCCTTTTTCTGTTGTTGTTGTCGCTGTTATTGATTGGGTATCTTCATCACCTCTGTTTTCTCTACATTCGCTTAAAGTCAGGTCTTCGCTGCCTCACCTCGCCTCTTCTGTCAGCTTCTTGGTTTTCGCCTGTACATCGTCGAGTTTGTGCCACAAGACCTTCGACATCAATCATCATTGTTGGTGAAATCCAAATCTTCTTTTGGGGTCTTATCATCGGTCCAGTCAGCATATGCCCTTCTTCCCGCTCCTCACAGTTTGTTGCATAATCCAGTCGAATCGAGTCAACCACCATCAGAAAGATCATCGGTGATAGTGAGTGACAGCCATGTCTTCCTCCTGTCTTCACTTCACTTAACTTCAAAGGCGTCACTGAGCTTTCCATTGTGGATCACTTGGCATATAGCATCATATAGCATAGCATATAGCTGTTGAATGAGGTTGATAAAGGTTTGTGGTACTCCGTAGTGTTGAAGCAGCTGTCTGCCAAATTACTTCTCGGTCGACGCTGTCGAAGGCCCTTCTAAAATCGATTAAGTTGAAGTTGAGTTGAGTTGACTGGCATTCTGTGCTCTGTTCTATGATGAAGTGTTGCATCGCGTTACAATCTGATTTGCACATAATTTGTTCTTCCTGAAGCCAGCCAGCCAGCGTGTCCCAGTGGTAATTCTGAATCCAGCGCATTGTTTATTTTCCCCATTATGATGCGGCTTAATATTTTACTTGCTGTGGGTGGACAGGAGTGGAGCGTGATTCCTCGCCAGTTCTTGCAAAGACTTAGATCGCCCACCCTTGGGAGTTTGACAAGGTAGCCCTTCTTCCGATCAATGGGCAGGTACGTTTCCTTCCTTCCTTCCTTCCAAACCTTCTGCAGTAGTGGTGTGAGCATGTCCGCCGCTGTTGTCTTTGCGCATGTTTTCAGTGCTTCTAGTGGAAATCCATCTGGTCCTGCTACTTCCCAGGATTTCAGCAACTTTACTGCGTGGCGTTCAGGACTTCGGCTTTTGTCGTAAGGCTTGTGTTAACTGGTAATTCTGTGGCTGGGTTGCTGGTGGTATTTCTGGACCAGTTGTAGGTGATGATGGCGGTGGTCGACTCAAGAGTCTTTTGAAGTGGTCTATTCACTGTTTCCTTTCTTTTTCCTCTTTGGTAACTGGGTTTCCTTCACTACCTTCCATCGGTTTCATCTGTGTTGATCTCTTCCCTCCTATATGGAAACCTGGTTATTTGATATAGTGTTGTCAGGTCCCTGTCTCTTCTACCTGCAGCCTATTATGCGTCACTCGCAAGTGTGTCGTAGAAGTATCTTTCGTCTTTCCGTGTACTCTTCTTCACTTCTTTGTCCAGTGTTTTATTCGTTGTACTCAGTCCCCCTTTTCGTTGTTCTTCCTTGCACTGGGTCATCATCTGCTGCACCATCTTCCTCTTGCTTTTCTATCAGCTTCCATGTATCTGTTAAGATCCATTAGTTGTCTCATCTTGTTTCTTCTTCCCTCCTAACACGGTTATGCAGGTTTTTTTTCCACATATCTTTTAAAGAGTTCCAGTGTCCTTCCACGTAGGTTTCCTCGGGGATGTTGCCTAATGTCTCCCATTTTGTTTTGATGACTGACTGACGTGAAGATGTCCTTTGCAGTTTCGTCCTTCAGTTTCTGTTCTGGGTGTTGAACCTGAACTGTGGACTGTTATCACCAACTTCTTTGAAGGTTTTCAACTTGATTTTGAAGTTAGGTTCCTTGGACTAAATAGTGCGTGGTCTGAACCTACTTCTGCTGTCGCAGATTTCTAGCACTTCTATGCCATGCCTTCTCATCTCTTTTGCAATCTGCGCAACCTTGCCAGCCAGCTCCAAACATGGTGCGGACATTCCATGTCCCTATGTTTACTTTTGTTTTCATGGAGAGAAGATACATCGGCCAATTGGTTTCTCGAAGTCTCTGACTAACCGGTGTCATTTCGTCTACGATTCCAGCGAGGAATAAGTTTATTTTTTAAATAGTTTTTTCTGTGCTTTGAAGTTTCTTTAGCGATTGGATTGGTCTTACGGGGAAGTGTTGGTAACTCTATGCTCAACCCCCCCCCCCTCTTTATCCGGATTTTTAGGACCGGCTAGTAACTAGTGAACTAGCTAACCAGGCTTGCTTGTTTCACCAAGATTATTGGCTCAGGGATTTAAGTAATATTCTAATGCTGTTCACGTTATTTTGCATTAAACACTTGGCACACAAAATTAATTAAAATAACACTGTTTGAAGTCATTTGATTGTAGGGTAGTGAGTAGTATCCATGATCTGATGAAGTACAATATCCTTTACACAGTTAGGTTGGAGTGATTTATACTTAATTCGGAGCTTATTCACTTTACGTTATATTTCAGTTGAGTTATCACGTTTTCTTCTTTTAACCGGATAGTGCAGTTGTTTCTTGAGATAGACATATTGATATTTAAATTTGAAGAAGCATCTTAATCATATTCTGATCTGGATCATTTGTCTTTTGATTACCAGCAGTTCATTTTCCAACTGACCACTGAGGAACTATATT